CCCCCCGCCGCTATACACCACTAGCCGCACGCTTGCATCCACGAACATTAACACTCGCGCCTATACACCACGCCACACTACACAATGTCGCAGTACAACCTCTACGCAACTGCTGCTCCGATGGGCATGGGCGCCGGCATCTTCCCGTCCGCGCCCTCGGCGCCACACGCATTCGGCTCAATGCACCAGGGTTCGCCCGGCGCACAGCACGCCATGTACGGCGCCCTCGCTCAAGGCGTCAAGGGTGTGCTCGGCGGCAAGAAGGGCTCGAGCAAGTGAAGCTCGCCCTTCGCCAGCGCCTCTCTGGAGATGATGTATGGGATAGAAGTCTAGAAGGAGGGGTATAGGAAGGAGACAGTCCTTGGGGCGCGCCGCCTGGAGCGAGCGCTGCCGGTCTTCGAGTTCGCAGATGGCTGCACTTGATCAAGAGCCTCGAGCTCGTTGTATCATCATGCTTTGTCACGTTTTTTCTCGGGTTTCTTTGCACGTCGATCATCGCTTTGTATCTGTATGACACCCCACACGCATATATGTAGCATCTCACGTTTCTTGCAATCTCAATGGACTTCCCCAATCTCGATTATCGCGGATGACTTCAACCCACCAGCGTGAGAATATGAGCAAATAGGGGCAAACACGCCGGCGCGATTTCGGCGCGCATTTGTTCAAACCGCCATCACTGCAGTCGTTCAGTTCAACTCGCGATGAACGTGCTTTACGGGGAGAAAGCCTCGGTGTTGTAAGTCTCTGGCTTTCGATCCTCTTTTATAAGGACTCAACGCTCTCGTCTAGCCACATCTTGACCGATGACTTCACGCCGGAGAGCGTACGCTCAGTGGCCGACGTGCTCTCATCTCGACTTTCATCCGCGGAACTCGCAGCGCAGGTTGCGCATGATTTTGAACGCCTCGAGGCCATCTCACGGGTTCTGAGATCGCGATACAACGACTGTTCCGCCTTCTTCAGGCTTCCGCCAGAGTGTATCGCCGTCATCATCCAATTCATCGCTGAAGTCGAACCCCCACGGTGGAACGCGCGGAACCATAGTGAAGATGGACAGGAATCACAGCTACCCAATACGCTAGGCTTTATACGCCTCGGCCATGTCTGCCACCGTCTGCGCGACACTCTCTTGAACATGCGGTCACTTTGGGCGGCCTACGCCTTCGCCATGTCGCCCGGTGCCGTCGGCGAGATGATCGCACGCGCCGGCACCGTTCCCCTGTCCATGAAGTTGGAGAACTGGGAGCATCCGCCTCTTCAAGTGCTGAAGTCCATCCGCGACCACATCCATAACGCGCGCATCATCAGTTTCCCGCCGAAGACGCTACTCGCTCGATATTGCGCCTGGCCGTTCGAAATGAAGACTTTACATCGAGAAACGTTCCCATATTTGGAGGAGCTGACGCTCGAGTTCCCTCTCATCCATGCTCAAGATGAAACTGCTTATCAGCGGCCTCCGTTGAATGCGCCCCAACTACGCCGCATCTCTATGGGGAACGTCTTCATTCCCTGCATCCTGTCCTCACTGGAATCTTTCGAGCTGCAGTACGATCAAGACACCTTCGACGAAATACAGCTTCCATCGAACCCAGTATTTCTCGACCTGTTGCGCGGCTTGTCGAACGTCCGCGTGCTCACTTTGGAGAACTGCCTGCCGATCGTTCTACCGAGATGCGACGAAGACACGCCCTTATTCGCATTTCCTCATCTTGAAGAACTGCGCTTAGGAGGTCCAATGACAACCTGCCAGGCCTTGTGGTCATATCTGCAATTTCCGTCGGATACGAGGGTTAGGCTGACGGTCGATGACGACTCGATGTCAAGACCCGGTCAGCTCGACTTTCTGGAGACCATCAGTCCCCACTTCAGGCAATCTGGCTGCCCCAGAATCACGGGGCTCAGCGTTGATGACGACCAGCGCAGTGCGGATCAGCTTCTACGGCTCGTCTTCGCTTACACCAAAGCAGGAGTGTCGCACGATTCGTGGTCGGGCCCTCTCGCCTCTGATCATGAGTTCCTACTGGACATCTCTCTATCCGGTTGGATGTTCGAAGCGGTGGACGAGACCGCCGGGCCTTTCATCCCGCTACTCGAGCGCATGTACGAGCTGTATAATCTACAAGAGTTGAAGACCATCGAGCTCGCGGCGACTATCGGATCAAACCCCACACGGTGGAAGGACGCGCTGAGGCGATATAAGACCGTCACCACATTTGCCATCGACCCTTTTCCTCCGCATCAAGGGCTCTGGGAAGCCCTCTGTCCGCAGACCTTGGCCGACGGCGAGCTCCATATATTCCCCAACTTGGAATACATCGCCATCGAGAACACCTTGGGCTTCAACCACTTCCAAATCGGGTACGAGGACGACGATCCGGCTATGCCAGCTGATTGGGCGGACTTCTGTCCTGGACTGGAGCGTCGTGCAGCTGCAGGGGTCGGTATAAAGCGATTATCGTTCGGGAACTTCAGGACGGACGATTTGGAACGGGCGGAGGAGCTCTTGTCATCCCTTCATGCTATCGTCCCGGAGGTTGTAGGCACCCCAATCCACTTTGAGAGACGACCGCAGTGGGTCACTTTGGGTGGCATGGGCATGGGTTGACACTCTTGCTCGATCTCGTACGCTCTAGTGCACCATGTATCACAAATCATGTTGTGAATCGTAGCATGTATAGCACTATAACCTGATACATGAACTCCATGTGACGCTCTAGTCTTTCATCCCGGAAAGCACTCATTCGCGATGTCGCCTACTAGACGCGCTACATCGTTGGGATGGATGTACACTGAGCGCGCAGAGGGAACATATCACTGAGCGGCAGTCCGGCCATCCACATGCACTCCACAGCGACAAACCAGCATCCTGCCGTGCTCCCATCACAGCTTTGCCAGGCTCAGAACGCGCTCGTGACATGGGCTGCACACAGTCTGGGGTATCATCCACCAAGTTGAGAGGGCTTATCGGGAGACCTAGCTACGGTATCCCTCAAAGGCTCTACTTCGATTTACAATATCCATCCTCGTTCACATCAAAGTTAGTCTCAAGTGTACACCTACAGTATCACGACATCAAACGAACACGTGAACATCACTCTCGACGTCCCAGTCCTATACAAGACCGTCAATGAACATGTTGAAAAGTCATGGCTGTCGACTTACTGTAGGTGTGACGACATCCTCGAGGGTTGTCTCTCCGCTCTCTATCCTCCGCCTGTGTTCCGCCTCGTAGCTCAGAATCTGTCGTATACGAGCATCGCGCGCAGAGCTCAGCTGAGAGTGGGCCCAGATCTTTCGCATCTTTGGCGCCGCATCTCGGACGCGACGGCAGAGAGGCAGTATATCGTTGAGCGAAGCCCTGCTTCGCCATAAGCAGTCTACAGCTAATGCGAGGAAATCTGCGAGCGTAAGTCCCGAGATACAGCCACCACGAGCTCAGTAGACTCACAAGTGTGATACTCCTCATCCTCATTCAAGTGTCCGGCTGCGGCAAGATACAACTTATGAGCACTCCGGAAGCGTCCGAATCCAGCGCCCTCGTTCTCGGTTTTTCCTCTGAAGTAATGCATCCAGGCCAGTGATCTACGTAATTGTCAGGTTCGGTATGCATTCGGAACAGGAACATATGTTCACTTACGCATACCCATCTGCAATGGGATAGATCCAGTACGACAACCTCTCAGAAGTGTCCAAGTGCTGGGTATCGAGACGGGGGAGCTCAGCCTGCGCTTCTTTGACGAGCTCGGCCGCGAACGTTTCCGATGCAGCGAGGAGGGGACCGAGCGACCGATTCGAGATTCCGGGCTTCATATTTGGTTGAGCAATTGTATACCGTCACCCACGGAGGCACTCACGTCGAGGTATGCACGCAACGTCAGACGCTTGAGAGGGAATAAGAACGCGTTTTCGCAGATGGCACCGCGCTTCGTGAGATCGACATCCGGCCATGTTGTGCGGACGAACTCGATCATTGACACTGCTTTGGTGTAGAGCTTGAGCGCAGCACCAGGATTTTTGTCGTAAACGTGGGCCAGGAATGCATGGAGTATCCATTCCCTATAGCAGTCTTAACGGCCGCAAACGACGACGCGCGGTTGAACGTACTGTACTGAGGCCCTCACAGCTGTTTTGATGTCCGTCCATCCCTTCACACGGATACGGTGTTTCAACTCAAGCTGTACTTGATCGAGCGGACAATCGTGATCCCATCCATTCCTGTCGTCCAACTCTATGTTGACTGCTTTGCATCAGCAGAGGGTGAGGGCAAGGAAATTATATGGAACTCCCGTTGTTTCTGTATTCTGGCACTGAACTCGGGTTTGTCTATGAAGCATCTGGGATCGCGCATGATACCTTCGAGGACGCTCTGGGCCGCCTGAGAGTAGATAGACCATCAACCTTAGGTCACGTCAAAGCAGCCATAGACATACGGGTGTAAATGTGCCAGGAGGGATCTCCATCATCTGCCATTGCTCGGGGTTGCCCCGACAAATGAAGTCTGCGGCATGATTGAATATATCATAGGCGTTGATGATGAGCCAGGCCTGGTGAGCGAAGGTTAGTAAAGACTGTATGGAGGCGAACCACACATACGCTACTGGTCTTGTCGAGCCCCGTTTCCTTCATCTTGATTAGGATAGGCTCCGCGCACTCCCAAGGCAGCCTCGGCTCCGGCTTCTTGGCCTTCACCCCGCTCTCTTTCATAGCGTCCGTCAGAACCCGCACGATGTTATCATGAAGTTGTGCTTTGAGCTCCTTGTCCTGTTCAGACATGTCACCTTCAGCCGGCAAGGTCGCTTGCGCCTTTTTAAACGAGTTGATACTCTCGCGAAACAGCCCTGAACGCTAAATGCGGTGTCAGTATATGGAAAGCGAACTTAGCACAGAGAATCTGACGTGTTGAATCATTGCCAAATAGGCCCACGCTTCGACAGAATGTGGCTGTAACATCGTCGCCTGTGGGGCAAGCAATGGAGTCAGTATTGTGCCTCGAAAACTGCGGTCACAGCAATTGACTCACAACGTCTGCATCTGCGAGAGCGTCCGCCAATCTTCCGAGGAGAAATCAGTTGGGGAGCGCTCACACAGAATGCAGCCTCGTACTTGTCATTTTCCGCGAGATGCTTCGCACGGCCAATGTATAGCCTCGCCTGTAGTGGGGTGGTACTGCGCTCAACGTCTTTGGCAAAACCATCTGGGGATTCGTAGTAGTCGGCTTTCGTGAGCGACTCCGTGTGAATGAACTCCTCAGCTTTCGTCGAGAGGTCAGCATCTTGTGCGGATACGGCGTCAGAGGACATGGTGGTCGAGAGGAAAACTGTAGGGAAACCTGCGAGAACACACGTTGTCTGAAGTAGGGCGCTTGTGGCGCTTCTATGCGCTCCAGACCAGGCAGCGAGGCGTTGATGGTGACTCGAATGAGAGTCGAACTCACCGCAGTACGGCATATATGTCATGAACAGCGCCACAGAGAGAAGACGGGATCCACTATTTGCTACAGATATGCGACAGACATGCACAGCAGGGTATGAATGACAGGACGAAAGGAAAGCTATGCAGGGTGGTCATTGCCTCGGTGCACTATTGAACTATGGCAGTCGTGAGTATGTATGAGTGTCCTGCAGTACAGATGAACCCACGATATCGCGTAGTTGGTTTTGCGCGTCTGTGAACTGCTTTTCCAGATACTTCGCCTTTATCAGAAGTCAGCACACGTAAAGTGGCTGGGCAGAGTGCCCTCAATTATACCTTCTTTCCCAGGTTATTCAAGTCGTCCGTGAGCGTCTTTTCCTCGTCCTTCAGGCTCTTCTCCATATCAGGTCTCGGCTCCATCATGAACCTATGCAGCCGTTCGGTCAAGTAGGAAGCACGCAGATCGGTCCGGCGCACATCTTTCCGACACCCTTATACAGGTTCACATCAGGCTCGAGGCCGGTGATCTCCTCAATGGTCAGCTGCAATATACGCCGCTCGCGTTCCTTGACGGCGATCTGTTGCTTCGTTGCGCCCAAATTCTTGTGGGCGTTGGCAGCGGTGGTTTGAATTTGCACGAGAATCTGTATCCGGTATATTGACGTTGAGCACCACTTCGGGTTAGATTGACCGAACGCGCCTTGCGCAGGGTGTCATCGGAAAGAGACGACATGTTTGATGCGGAGGGATGATGGAGGACTGGGTTCAAGGCGTGGGACGCGACGCGTCGCGCGTTCACGCTGGTCGCGTCTTGCCCTCATCCTCTTCTCGGGCGCGCACTGCTCGACTGGTCTCCCTCCAGCCACTTCCGAAATCAACCCATTCCTGATAATATAATGGCGTCATTTGAAGACTACGACGAGTTCGGAAACTATATTGGGGCGGACCTCGACTCGGACGAGGAGGACATCCAGCAGGATGACTTTGCCCAGCAGCCACAGCAGCCCGCGCCATTGGAGGGGTTCGACGACGAGCCAATGCAGGAGGCGGGCGAGGGAGCGTTGATGGAGGTTAACGGTGCGTGTAGACTGGCTATAATGCTATAAGTGCTCATGAACCGCTCGATACCATTCAGAACCAGTGCACAACGCCGTCATTCTACATGAAGACAAACAGTACTATCCTACTGCCTCGCAAGTGTATGGCCAGGATGTGGAAACACTAGTGCAAGAGGAGGACGCGCAACCGTTGACAGAACCCATCATTGCACCGGTCAAAGTGCGCAAGTGGAACATCGAGGAGAAGGATATGCCAGAGACGCGCTTCGACAAAGGGTGCGTGATAAATTGGATCCAAAAAGGCTCGCGCAACTAACAGATACTTCAGATTCATGCTCAATATGCTTGCATTTCCTGAGATGACCCGCAACGTTGCTGTAGTCGGTCACTTGCACCATGGCAAGACCGCGCTCATGGACATGCTCGTCTTCGAGACGCACAAGCTGGTATGGGACTCGGACAAGCCGGTAAGTGCTCATACAACTCCAAAATATACTGACCTCAATCAGTTGCTCGTTTATAGTTGAGGTATACGGATACCCACCACCTATCGCGCGAGCGTCTCATCTCTGTCAAGTCCACACCAATGTCCCTCGTCTTGCAAAACACGGCTGGAAAGTCGCACCTAATCCATCTTATTGATACGCCCGGACATGTCAACTTTATGGACGAAGTGGCGTCAGCTATGCGGTTAGTAGACGGCATCGTTTTGGTCGTGGACGTTGTTGAGGGCGTGAGTTCTCCAGTACATACCCCCAAAACCAATAAACTGACCGGAGTCTCAGATGATGATCAACACAGAACATATAATCCGTCATGCGTTGCAAGAGAACATCAAAATCACGCTCGTCGTGAACAAAATCGACCGTCTTGTTCTTGAACTTCGCATACCGCCCGCAGACGCGTACTACAAAATCAAGCATACCATTGAAGAAATCAATACCTTCATCAGGTCAGTTCACAAATAGGGATTGTAGCTCCGGCTAATATGTGGCACATGTTATAGTGGCATTGATCCGGACCCTGCTCACCGCGTCAGCCCCGAGAACGGCAATGTCGCGTTCGCCAGCACGGACATGGGCTGGTGTTTCACACTACGCTCGTTTGCCGAGATGTACGCGGAGACATACGGCAAGTCGACTGTCGATGTACCCCGGTATACGACCTCACATCCTTGCAGGTCCTATGGACACGGCCTCTTTCGCTGACCGTCTCTGGGGTGACATCTACTTCAACAAGGAAACGCGCAAGTTCACACGCAAGGCCGCGGACCCTGAGTCGCGCCGTTCCTTCGTCGAGTTCGTCCTCGAACCGCTATATAAACTCTACAGCCATGTGATCAGCGAGGATACCGAACAGCTAAGGGAAACGCTCGATAGCTTGAATATTTTTCTCAAGCCGGTCATGTACAAGATGGATGTACGCCCGTTGCTGAAGGCCGTGATGGACCAGTTCTTTGGGCCGTCGACTGGTCTTGTTGACATGATTGTCGACCACATACCCAACCCCATTCAGGCTGCTGAGGAGAAGGTACGCTGTATCATGGCATTTCGGATGTTTGGCTGAAGTTATGTCCAGGTTGAGCGAACATACTCTGGCCCGATGTCGTCCGACCTCGTGCAGTCGATGAAGTCCGTTAACGCCGAAGGACCGGTGATGGTGAACGTCACGAAGCTCTACCAGACCACGGATGCACAGTCTTTCCGCGCGCTTGGTCGCGTATACAGCGGCACTCTCAAGAAGGGCGCGAGCATCAAGGTGCTTGGAGAAGGATATTCTCCCGAAGACGAGGAGGACATGATGAAGGTGACCGTTGAGGATCTGTGGGTAGCCGAGTCCAGGTCAGTTCATTGACAACGCTCATGTTAGAGACTCTACTGACTGACACGTGCAGATATTTCGTCCCTGTTGACGAAGTTCCTGCCGGTAACTTGGCCTTGATAGGCGGAGTCGACGCTTCAATCATGAAAACTGCTACTCTGGCGTCCGTCGACATTGAGGAGGACCTCTACATCTTTAGGCCAATCAAGCACATGACGGAGTCTGTGTTGAAGATCGCCATCGAGCCCGTCGCACCATCTGAGTTGCCGAAGATGTTGTCTGGTCTCCGGAGTATCAATAAGTCGTACCCGCTCGTCTCTACCAAGGTAGAGGAGAGCGGCGAGCATGTCCTCATCGGCACTGGCGAGCTCTACTTGGACTGTGTCATGCACGATCTGAGGAGACTGTTCTCGGAGATTGAGATCAAGGTGTCAGACCCGGTGACGAAGTTCGCGGAGACGGTATTGGAGACGAGCGCGTTGAAGTGCTACGCCGACACGCCGAACAAGAAGTAGGTTAACTCGGATCATTCTCTGTGTCCATTCGTTAACGGAGGGTACAGAAACCGACTGACTATGATCGCCGAGCCGCTCGAGCGAGGTATCGCAGAGGATATCGAGTCCGGTCGCGTCAACATGCGCATGACGCCAAAGGACCGCGGCAAATTCTTCCAAGAGAAGTACCAATGGGACCTGCTCGCTTCGCGCTCCATCTGGGCGTTCGGTCCAGAAGAATCCGGCCCGAATATCTTGCTCGACGATACACTGCCTTCGTCCGTCGACAAGAAGCTGCTCGGGACCGTCAAAGAGCATATCAAGCAAGGCTTCCAGTGGGGCGCACGCGAAGGGCCATTATGCGACGAGCGTGAGTGCGCCACATGTACCACGTGTGCTTCGTAACTGAGTCCGACTTCGTAGCTATGCGAAATGTCAAGTTCCGTATACTCGACGCAAGTCTGGCACAAGAGCCTATATTCCGTGGCGGAGGGCAGATTGTGCCGACTGCTCGTCGCGTGTGCTACTCGTCGTTCCTTATGGTGAGAGGAATACCTACTTCCATACGTGGCCGCGGCGCTCACGCATCCGGTGGCAGGCTACTCCGAGGTTGATGGAACCCGTCTACTTCGTGGAAGTGCAGGCACCAGCTGACTGCATATCTGCCGTGTACACCGTCCTAGCGCGCCGGCGTGGACACGTCACTCAGGACATTCCCAAGGCGGGCTCGCCACTGTACACCGTGAAAGCGCTCATCCCGGTCATCGACGCAAACGGGTTTGAAACGGATCTGAGGACAGCCACGCAGGGCCAAGCATTCTGTCTGCAAGTGTTTGACCACTGGTCGATCGTACCTGGTAAGCCCATATATTTCTGTGATCCGTCTGCTGTGCGCGCGCTCACGATGATTTCCGTTCTCCGTGCGCAGGCGATCCCACGGACACCAGTATCAAGCTGCGTCCACTTGAGCCGGCGTCGGGTCAGGCGCTTGCCCGCGATCTTGTGCTCAAGACGCGTCGGAGGAAGGGTCTGGGTGATCAGATCTCCGTGTCGAAATATCTCGACGATGAGTTTGTGGTCAGTACACCTATGCGTATGCCAAACGCGCCACAGCTAACTGGTTTGAACAGCTCGCTCTTTCGGCGTCGGGACACGCGGACTTGCTCGGGTAGAAACACCATGTACATGTACCAGTCGAATAGTTGCTCTATCATTTGCTATCGTCTCTCTCATGTCCCCCACGCCGTCTTCGCGGTCGGAAGCGAGCGCGGGGAAAACGGCGGGAAAAGGCCTGGAAAACGATAGAATGTCCACGCAGGCCGAGGCGGTGACACGTGTGCTGTCCGAAGCCGCCACGCGCGCTATATACGTGTCGAGACAGGTTGAGCGCCCGGACGTACACACCACCTCCAACCCTCTCTCTCCTTTCGATTCCATCCTCCGTCTCGGTCCTTCGTACTCATCATGCGAAGTGTAGCGGTGAACGCTCTGCTTGTCGCCGTCGTCGCCACCGGCGTCTCGGCACAGGACAAGCCCGTGTTCAAGGTTCGATCACCTTCGTGTTCGTTGTCTCGAAAGTATGGCTGACAATAAACCTGGTATAGCCCACGGAAGTCAAGGCGCCGTTCCTCGAGCAGTTCACCGAGGACTGGGACTCGCGTTGGACGCCGTCCGAGGCGACCAAGAAGACGCCCGTCGGCGGCGAGACGTTCTCTTACGTCGGCAAGTGGTCGGTCGAGGAGCCGAAGACGCCCGTCATCGAGGGTGACCTCGGTCTCGTCGCGAAGACAAAGGCGGCCCATCACGCGATCTCTGCTCCGTTCGAGTCGTCCTTATCGCTCGCAGACGAGCCGTTTGTTGTGCAGTACGAGGTCAAGTACCAGGAAGGCGGCAACTGCGGCGGTGGCTACGTCAAGCTGCTCGAAGACGGCTTCCAGACGAGCGGCAAGGAGTTCTCCGACAAGACCCCTTGGACGATCATGTTCGGCCCCGATTTGACGTGCCCGGGCACCAAGGCGAGTATTCGGATTGACTTGTACGGCGGGAACACGTGTTGACGCGCCGCGCCACAGATTCACTTCATCTTCCGCCACAAGAACCCCGTCACCGGCGAGTTCGAGGAGAAGCACCTCAAGACGCCTCCCAAGCCCTCAATTGAGAAGACAACCAACTTGTACACTCTCGTTCTCCAGTATGTGCATACCCTTATATATACCAGAATCCCGGACTAAGCAATACGTGACAGCCCTTCCAACCAGACGTACGAGGTTCTCTTCAACGGCGAGTCGCAATCCACCGGCTCTCTTCTCGAGGACTTCTCGCCTGCCGTTAACCCGGCCGCTGAGATCGACGACCCGGAGGACTTCAAGCCCGAGGACTGGGTCGACACCAAGCGTATCGCCGACCCAGAGGCCACGAAGCCCGAGGACTGGGATGAGGACGCTCCCTACGAGATCCCTGACATGGACGCTGAGATGCCGGAGGACTGGCTCGTCGACGAGCCGGCCGTCATCCCCGACCCTGGTGTGTTCATTCTTATTCTCGACATATCCATAGAAGCCCGTGCTGACTTCCCCTCTCAGACGCTGAGAAGCCCGAGGAGTGGGATGATGAAGAGGATGGCGACTACATTGCGCCCACCATCCCCAACCCCAAGTGTGAGGAGGTCTCCGGCTGCGGCGAGTGGAAGCGCCCCTTCAAGCCCAACCCCGACTACAAGGGCACCTGGTACGCTCCCATGATCGACAACCCGGCGTACATTGGCGAGTGGGCCCCGCGCAAGATCGCGAACCCCGAGTTCTTCGAGGACCTCACGCCGCTCAAGTCGCTTGTTAAGATTGGCGGTATCGGTATCGAGCTCTGGACCATGACAGAGGACATTCTCTTCGACAACATCTACGTTGGCCACTCTGTCGAGGACGCGCTCAAGCTTAAGGCTGAGACCTTCGACGTCAAGAAGCCGCTCGAGGTCGAGGCTGCCAAGCCCAAGAAGGAAGATAAGGCTGAGGAGACCTCGTCTGTCACCTTCAAGGAGGACCCGGTCGAGTTCGTCCGCCAGATGGTCTTCACCTTCATCGACGCCGCCAAGGTCGACCCCGTTGAGGCGTTCAAGACGCACCCCGAGACCGGCGCTGCCCTCGCTGTTGGTGTCCTTACGCTCTTCGGTATGATCGGTGCCCTCTTTGGTCTCGTCGGTTCGCAGCAGAAGCCCGCGGCCAAGCCCGCACCATCGAAGAAGACCGACGCACCGACGCCGGACGACAAGGTCGCGGAGAAGGCACCTGTCGCACCCGCTGGTGGCGAGAAGAAGGACGAGACGCCGGTGAAGAAGCGCAAGTAGGCGTTGTAAAACGTAGGCGTCGCGCGTGGTGGGCGCGCGCGAATGTATAGCTCCGTGCTTCTAGGCCGGAGTAAGCTTGGATTCATGGGATACTGGGTGACTGGGACTATGGAGAGGCGCGTCAGGCGCGGGGAGTATAGTATCATCGACATTCGTCTCGCTATTATTTGCGCTCACAATCTGCTGTCTATTGAGTCGTCACATCGAATGCATGCTCTTGATCTCCAGACACCACTATGCGTGGACCCCTTTAAGCGCGTCAATAGAACTCGCCACTCCTGGAGTAGAGCAGCGACAAGACATTCAAGGATGTCGCATCAGCAGCTTCAACGTGTGCTATATGACCTGAACGCTCAAGGCCGAGTAGAGCGCAACTTTGCTCCCTCCACCTCGGCCCTTGTGTAATGTCTATTCCTGTGCAGTTTGAATGCACGTACAGGCCAGTGATAGACCTGCTCGTAATCCAGCGCGCACAGGGGAGCGCGGTATGGCGGCTAACCGTGGTAAACCCTACAGCACATGGGCCCCTCCTTTGCATGCCATCGAGCCACTACAACATGCCAGCACCCGTAGCGACAGGGACAGGCCCGACGCTATATAAAGCTATCTTTCGGGTTGCCATCCCCCAAAGACTCGCTCTGACAATCATCGCCCTCTACCCACCCGCACACACCGATGAAGCTTATTCTCCCGCTTGTGCTCCTCGCGCCCGCCGCCGTGTCCGCGGGCCCCATTGCCTACGGCATCTGCCAGACCGGTGAGCCTCCCTCGGTGTAGCAGATACTAGCTCGCGCTAAGCAGAGTCATATATGACAGGATGTAACGCCGTTGCCGTGGCGTGCTACGCCGCCGCCGGTGCCACCTTTGGCACGGTCATCGCGGCCGCGGCTGCCCCAGCCGCCATTATCGCATGCAACTCCGCCCTTGGGACATGCTCGGCTGCTTGTGCTACCGTCACCCTCCTGGCACCTACCCCTTGAGAATGGACATATCGACTCCTGGAAGACGCCCGAGGTAACTTGGTGAACGGGCCGCGCGCGAACGCCTCTTACCTAAATGTTGTACTATGATTACTCGTTCGATGATGCGACCGCATAAATTAGAACCGTCGCGATCTTCCGGATGAAAGCTTGAAATAATATCTCAGAGCGACATGCCTATGATTCTGTGAGAAGCCTGAGCAGCTTGCGGATTTGTTTTGAGTCGAAAGCCTCCAGATATACCGTAAGTGAGTTTTGACGTCGTTACGGCCTACTTAATAAATAACTACCATCGGATATGGTGTAACGGCTAACATTGCCGCCTCTCAAGAGGATCGCGGCAGCTCGGGGTTCGATTCCCCGTATCCGAATCGATCGTGTCATGCATTTGTCTTTTGATGTATTTGAGAGCGAACAAAAAGAGTACAAGTTCAAGCTCCGGATAGCTTGAGAACTTTTTGGATTGATATTGTTTATGGGCACTGGAGGCCCTAAGTAGACGTCTTAAGCATATCAAGATTGGCCCGTTTCTATTGAGCATTGAAGTTCGGGGGATTAACACGTGAGTAGTGTTTTGCTCTATGGGACAGCGAAGTAGACGAGGGTAGACTATCAAGGAAACACCTTCAACGTGTGCTGGAGAATCACCGGGTGCGTTTGACCACTCGCTCGGTAAGAACTTCAAGAGCGCCGCGTGCATCACTCTCTGGGAGATGATGCAACGCGGCGAGAGCCTTATCGGCGTGAGCTAGGGCAAGGCTGCGCGTACGCTCTACACCGGATGACCGTCGGACAAGATCGCGCGCCTTTGGAAGTGTTCGCTATGAGTGTGCGGAGTGGAGATTTTACACGATAGGACACATACCAGCTCGACGTCACCCTCCTGCCCAAACTTGCGCGCAATCAGCGGGCCCATCTCGGGATGCTCTTCCCATGCATAAAGCGCAGGGCCCGTCGCAAGCCCCAGTTGCAGATCCGCGCCACCAGGCTTACCCAACGTCGCTTCTCCCGCCTCGTAATCGAGGATATCATCCACGAGCTGAAGATCAAAGGACAGTCAGATCATCTGACCTTTACGCGCTCACGCACGATACGCGCTACGCGTCGAGACGTACCTGGAACGCGATGCCAATGTTACGCCCGTACGCGTATGCGACCTCCTTCTCCAATTCGCCTGCGCGACCGCCGCCGAGGACGACGCTTGCGCGTGCGCCCTTGGCCATGAGACTCGCGGTCTTGAGGTACGTCTTCCTCAGGTAGATATTCCACCCGTCGGACCCGCCACCCGTTTTGGCTCCTGCAAGGGCCTCGCTCTCCGCCACGACCTTGTCCAATTGTAGGATCTCTCCTTCAACGAGGTTCGCGATGACGCTCGCGATGAGCTCGACGACCTCGGTTTCGCCCAACCGCGACAGGCTGGCTGAAGCGCGACCGAGAAGGAAGTCGCCCCCGAGAATCGTGAACTTATTCCCGAACGCTGCAGGTGCGCTCGGTGCGCCACGTCTTGTGTTCGAGCCGTCGATCACGTCGTCATGTAGCAACGATGCGACATGGATCATTTCCACAATCTGTGCAAGACGAACTTGTGTTGGTAGTAAGGCGTCGGCGAGCGCAGGTACGTGCGGCGACAGTCGAGGTGGAGGCATTGGTTGGGGTAATGATGGAGCTGGCATGTGCAAGTCGAACGCAGTCGCGAAGGATGCGGTCGTGTCCGGCATGGACGGATTCCAGTCGTTCAAGACGTCGGGTCGAGACAGCGGTTCGTCCAGCTCCTCCGCTCGGCCTCTTGCACCCTCGCATTCGGCAGCCCATGCCTTGTCGTCCCAACCAGACCCCAACCCATTTGTTGCACGGGCGAATAATAGTACGAGCAGCGGTCGGACCTGCTTCGACGGATGCAAGAAGTAGTATTTCGCAATATCCGTTAATGTCGGATGCGCAGAGCCCAGCAAGTTTAATAGCCTTTCTCGTAGAGTATCCAGCTCAGGTTTAAGAAGCTTATAAGGATCTGGTCGAGCAGGCTGTGTCGTCAGAGGTGGTACTGGTAGCGGCGCGTGCACATGTGCGGACGCGTCCGGGACGTGACGGTGGGCGGTTGCGAGCGCGCTGTACGCCTTACGAGCGTGTATTCGCGCGTCGTTGCGCGTGGAAGAGCGGGCAACGGCTGCGGCAGAGGCGGACCATCGTTTCATGGCCGAGAATGGGAGGGCGCTCGTCGCCGTTCGGTGCAGAGGTCGTGACGCGCACAACGACTCACGCGTCGCCGCGCGCCGATGCCGTGCCTGCGATTTCTTCCCTCGACCTTTCTCTCAAATCAAAGTGTGGGTGTGCACAAACGGAGCCATTAGCATTATATGTACAGTAAGACAGCTACGGGGAACGGTCGAAGTCGGGTAAGATGATACACAGCGCATGAGCGCTCTACAGCAAAGTTGAAACGCGGTCAAGATAGCATTTGAAAGCGCGTAAAAGCGGGACAGTAACCCAAGTCTATCCGAAAGGCATAGTTTTGTGTATGTACTGAGAGCGATAGCATGCGTTGCATGGGAGAGTGCAACTCAAATAACCTTCCGCTGAGTCGTTACGATGCGACGCGACCCCGGGTGGGTACAGGCGCGGCCGGCTTGGTGGGCGCGGCCAACAGAGGGGCACGGATTTTGCCTACGGGCTTCGCAAGGTGCTGCGCGATATCCTTAGCCTGTGTATAGCGCGGCCGTTAGACAGGTGTGCGCGTTGCAGGATGAATGGCACTTGCCTTCTTTTCTAGAGCATCCCAATCCACATTCTCGGACGCTGACAGCGACACCAGCATCAGCGGTTCGACAGGCTCTGCCTTTTCCGCGTCCTTGCCCTTCTCCGGCACCGACGCGTCTTCTATAGGCACAACTACGATTCTTCCGATCTATGTCATTGATGTATGAGGCCCTAGCCGCCGGGAAGTGCAGACATCTCGCGCGCGTACCTCGGTCTCGGCGGCGGCGAAACCCTTGACCTCGGTCCACACCTCGGTCGCAAGGCCGACGAGGACGCGCACATCGTCTTTGCTCTTCTTCCTCCCATACGCGCACGCGACCAGCTGCCCCGTCGGCGTCCAAAGCGCCGCAGCGTGCACGTCGGCCGATATGGCCTGGGAGAGCAGCTTGTGCAATGTAGACAGGACAAGCATCTCTCGCGCAGCGCGCGCGCCCAGCGACGGGGGCCGGGGTAGGGTGCGGTGGGTGGTGGTTGGTGGTTAAGTTTGCAAGCTGCTTGCAGGTGTTAGAGTTGGCTTGTTGTCATGGTTGACTCAAAGGGGGTGGTCGTTCCTTGTGGCCCGTCGTGGGTCCTGATCTTCCGGATGCGTCATGGGCTGCTCAAAAGTGTGATGCGATCATACACGAGGCTCGCGAATCTGGTTCTAGGGTAGACAATACGAAAAATGCAAGAGAGTCCCTGCCTGGACCATACTCTACGACCCGAGTCGAACAGGTTATGAGCCCCGATTCGGATACGGGGAATCGAACCCCGAGCTGCGTCGTGTGGGCCGGGTTCGATTCCCGCGATACGCTGCCGCGGCGAGCTTGCGAGCCCGGCAGCGTTGAGCGGGGAGCGAACCCGTGCCCACAACGACGCCCGCGCGCTCCAAAACGAGAGGCCGGCAATGTTAGCCGTTACACCATATCCGAGATGATAAGTGTCCGTCAGATCCAATTACGACGAGTCGCACGAGACCGATGAGATAGATAACAGGTGGCTCGGTCCGCCTCGTTGGTTGCGCTAGTCGATCCATGTTCCACTCGGGCCAGGCGTGCTGTGTCGATGTGGAGGCATGGTGATCTCACACTCGGAGGCTGTTCGACTGGCACCCCACCCACATCTATATAGCCTCTAGGCATCCGAGGATGAGCTTCGACTACGCTTTCCCCCTCGATCACTGCGACAAATATGCCTGTAACATTCTACCCCGCCAGTCATCGCGCCGAGTCCGCCCCTGATGCGAGCCCGATCGACGCCGCGTCCCTTCTGCAGAAGTCAGCTCGACCAAAAGCTAAAGAGATCCTACAGTCGTTCCTCGGGCGCGGGCCGACTGCCTCATCCGAAGTGCCACTCATTCCCGCGCGTGGTGGCCTCGTCACAACGGTGCTAGAGGCGTACAACCATCACCGTGCACTCGTACTTCGCCCCGACGACGTGTGGCTCGCGATCCTCACGCAATTCTCCTTCTTCGTCAATGGCCCTGGCCGCGCGGAAGAGTTACGCTCGCGCTTTGTAGCACACGAAGGCAAGAAGAAGCTTACGGTCACTGCGGCCGGCACGCGCTATGATGTTGACTTTGGTCGGCTTGCGGAGAACATGACGAGTGAGATGGAGAAGCACATCGTCGACCCTGAGCTACGGTCGTGGATCTTGCCACGATTTTCGACCACTACGCCGAATGATACAGTCGTGGCGAGTGTGACGATGATGGCCACGATGAAAGCCTACTTCGACTACTCCTTCGCGCTCCTATGTGGTATTCCCCGCCTGACGCTATTGGGTGACAAGGCAGACTGGGAGGATATCGCGCGACGTGCCGAGAAGCTACGTTCATACGGAAAAGAATGTGAAGTGTGGCACAATATGCTCGCGCCGGTACTTGGGCGCTTCGTGGGAGCGTTTGACAAGCCGAAGGATATGGCAAATCTCGAGTTCTGGCAAAGGGTCGCACACTACCAGGGCGGGGGAAGTGGGCCGACATGGTTATCAGGTTGGATTACAGCCTTTTGCGTGTTCAGTACAGAAGGAGAGTGGCTTGGCTTTCCTTTGAACGAGGTGGGTCTTCACGCTGTGTCCATCCATCCATGATACTGACATGGAAAGAAGGGTGTTCCAGGAGCAAATATGGAGATCGTTGCAAAAGAGATACAGGAGAACCCATTCTCAAAGCCGCGGACTGCACTCTCACTTGACGGAGCAGGTTATCATACTATCGACACTGCGAGCATCCCCAGCGGAACTGTTGAAGTCGACGTGCACCTTGACGACAACGGGAAGAAGCTCGAGACTACTATGGTAGCAGGCATCGTTGCTTCGAGCCTCGATAGAGCGCTGTCAGAGCAAAGCAACGACGACACTGTAGCACCGATGCCGGGTTGGTGGATATTCGTCAAGGAGGAGAAACAGGTGGAGCAGTAGCGGCACTTGTTGTCGTCAGTCATCGTGATAGAATGTATTTGTCGGCGCTTGGCGAGTTTGTGGGGGTTTGGTGGTTATGGCTCGCGTGCATAGGGCTGGGATCTTGAGCACTCCTCGTATAAAACTGGTATGTTAGAGACGGGACATTGTCGCGTCAAAGGTAAAAGCAAGAACTGCTTCGTGTGACGTATCGATGTACGGCGCGCTTCCCATGAGGTGCACAGCCTCAAGAGCTAAGCATGACAGACGGATTGAAGTGACCCAGACGCGCGCGTCGCGCTGCTTCACGGTCACAGGATCGCGTTTGATCTAGTGGCTAAACGCGTTGCAGTTGCGCGTCTCTCGTTCCGCTACCACCATGCCCGTTTGAACATGGCCCCGATGTGCGCGCCGCTCGGTCTACGACTGTCTGCACTGCTAACGGACCCTGAATGTAGACGTGACAAATTCAATATCCACTCCAAGGCTGTAGTCTGTCAAGATGTCGAGCTGAAGGGCGATATCACCATTGGTGCAGGTACGCACTGCTTTCGGCTCCGTTACACTCGAGGATCGACAGCTGACCCTGATTGTGGCTTTCCGTCTTGCAGGCACGATTGTTCACCCCAAGGCGACTATATTCGCCATCGCTGGTCCAATCATCATCGGGGCAGGCTGCATCATTGAAGAGGCCGCCATCATTGTCAATCGGTGCGTCTCCCGACTGCATGTACGATCTGTCAATCTGACTGACGAACGCCTGGCCAGACGCAAGGAGGTAATGCGCATCGGAGACGACAACTTGTTTGAGATTCAGTGTCGTACGTGCATCACCGCCATGAAGCCCGCGCTCTAGGCTAATTGTGGCGTAGGCGTAGAATGCCCCTCTATAGGCAACAGCAATACCATCTCAACTCGCGCGCGTGTCCACCATACCGTGCGTCTGTCCTCGCACTGTGTTATTGGTGCCGGTGTACTGTTAGTTCCGACCGAGGATGAGACGTTGGATCCCTTCACGGTGGTCTTCGGACCAGCTGCCGAACGCCGGACGTGGTCAGGCCGGGGACGCGCACAAGAAGCAGATTTGCGCAAGAAGCACGCAGAATACCTTCGCGAGACGCTGCCGAAGTTCAATCGGCTGAGGAAGGGCGATGCGCGGAGTGCCCACGCCGAGACTGCTTCGCCCTCACGGTGATCCATATGCTCGCTCTTGTTCACACATGACTCGCGGCAGGTCTTTGCGGTTTACTACTTGACGTTGTCTACTGCAGGCGGGCGGACGTTAGTTTGCCCGGCGGTGCTCGCGCCAGTGAGAACTCTAGCAATCGACGATTGGCGCATCAGCTGGCGACCGCCGTTACCACCGTCGTCGCCGCATGCATACGCCTACCCTCTCGTATTCTCGCTCTTAAACTGAGCCGGATGTTCTCGCCACCTTTCGCTCTGTTGCTTGTCGCCACGTAAAAGTCCTGTTTAGAATAAGGTTACTATCGTAACGAATATATCGTCGGCGATTGTCGTGCACAAATAGCCTCCAGTTGCTATCTAAATGCGATGGTGGCTGAATTGCCTGGTCCGCCGGCAAACCCGCGGCGGGTTGCTGAAGCATTGAAGGCGGTGAAGTGGCACTCTTGTAACCTGCCATCATAGGACAGGGTCGATGCAGGTCTGCAGTGTCAGCGCATGGAGACAGAACAATGCGCAGACCCATATGTACACAACAAGGGAGCCGCCGGAGCGGGACAGGGGCAGACTTTAGGGTATTGATCGGGTCGCTGTACTCTTGAAATTGAGATCGAGAGCGGGGTGATGGGCGTTGTCGCACGAGATTCGGTATATGCCTCGAGGAGTCGAGCCTGCGGCCGTCGCAGCCGTCTCTCTCCCTTGCTCTCCTACGGCCATGAAGGGGTCCTGGAAGTCCCGCGCCCCGCCTCCATTGGATGAGCATGACGACGACGCGGACCGGATGACTTTTGCGAGCAACGATGCCGCCTCATTCATTGACCTGGATACGCCCTCCTCGCCCCTTACATTTGCTCGCCATCGCAAGGACTCGCTTGACTTGGAGGATGACTCTACGCGGCTCCTGCACTCTCGGAAGTCGAACAAAACAGCGGGCATTCGTATCGTGACAGACGAGAGCAGCAACGAGGTATGTCAGATGTCAATCCTGTAAATGATTGAGCAGTCGCGTCAACATTTGCTGCTGTAGTACTTCGGGAAACCGCCTTTGCCCACCGCGCCGAAGCCGAACTTTAGGCGTTCCGCATCTGCAGGGCCTTCAAAGCCCCGTAGTAGTAGCGGACCGGCCTCAGCGCCTCCAGAACCGATACCGCCGACCACAAACTACTTGAGTGCAGAGGCGCGGGCCGACCTCGTGCGCAAATCTCGCAAGTTGACGCAGGTTTTCGGAACAACGCCATCTGTCGGACATGTGCAGGCGCCGCGCCAACACACGCGAGGAGCATTGTCCATGGCGGAAGGCGTTGGCAGTCCTACCCGTGGGAGTCTACGCTCTCGGTCCAGCGTATCGAGCAACGA